CCCCAGATCTCTGGGTCCGCCGTCCCGACATAAAGTTCAGCGGCATCTGCTTCGGCCACCAGCTCCTCTCCCGCCTGCTGGGCGCAGAAGTAAGCCCCCACCCCGCCGAGGAGTGGGAGCTGGCGCACAGCAGGATCGACCTGGCCGAAGTCGGCCAGCGTCTCTTCCGGACGGACAAGGACCACCTCACCCTGCACCAGATGCACCAAGACCACGTCGCCACGACGCCGACGGTGGAGAGCAGCAAGGGTCTGCTTGCGCCCGGCACCAACGTGCACGTCTGGGGCAGCAGTGGTCATACGGCCATACAGGGTCTTTACATCAGAGACAGACTGTTTACCAGCCAGGCTCATGTGGGATTTGACAGTGATATGGTCAAGCATGAGATGGATATGAGGGTTAAGGATGGTGCTATCCAGGACAAGGACCAGGTCAATGAGGCGGAGGAGACGGCCAGCTTTGAGCATGACGGAGAGGTTGTTGCGAGGGCGATATTGCGCTTCTTCTACGGTGAGGATGAGGGGATAGAGTGACATCATGGGGCCGGATACATGTGATACACAATACAGAACTAGACAGCGTGTTGTTATTTTCCCCTTGCCTTTCTGGTGTTTCAACTAGAGGTAAAACTCCTCCTAGTCTAGTAAGATCCTTGTCTAGAAGGCAATAACCAAAAGCTTTACCTTCTCGAGCTCATCAGATCTTCCAAGCCCAAGATGGAACTGGTGTCGTCGGCAGACAGGTTACGTTCACATGGATACATCGCGTTTGGAGTTACGCAGACACTTCAGCACCGTCGTACTGCCTCGAATGATGTGTTATCAACCCCGTATTCGGGATTAGTACTACTTGCGGTTGCAGGCTCTCCGGAGCGACTTGGGGGATAGTACCATGCCGTAGCACTATTGCAAGACAGCGCCCTACATGTATGTTTGTCTTTGTCTCAACAAGTGCAAGGATCACGACTGTGATAACTTCAGGTCCACTCGATCGTTAACATTGATGGGTATATATACATAACGCTGCGATGGGACACATCCGTTGCATCTATTGCATCTATGGGCTGCTGCCACGACTGATATCATCTGCCGAAGTCTATGGAGTGATCATATCCCTTCGAAAGCTTGTACCACAAGTAATAGCCAGTCGCAATATTGCTATCCAACATCACTGTCTCCCTGTCTTACTGGAGGACTTCCACGGGTGTGGCGCCGAGACATCTCAACGGTGTTGGACTGAGCTTCGGCCTACCCGTACCCAGAGACGATTCCAGCCAAGGATTCGAAGCGAATCTTCCATGGCCGTGGATCAATGGCGGGAATCAACATACCGTTCCACGGATGCGAAGCACAACCGCACGTATTCATCCGGGAGACACGACATCATTCCCACTAGTTTGAAGAGGAAGGTCGAATGAATGGTCGAAGCAGGTCAGCTGGAAGTCGGCGTTCGGCCCGCAAACGCAACAGCTTACGACATGATGCACGACATCCAAGACACGTTGAGTCTCATGAGATGCTTTATCTTCGATAAGACAAGCAGGCGGATGGCTGGGGATCCTTGCCATCCATGGATATCTGCGAGCGAACTGAACATTAGGAGAGACGCGGAGAGGTATCTGTTTGTCAGGACGACATGCTTGGCGAAGACAGGTGAACCTCTCATTCCAATTGACATGCAGTCTGACAAGGGAACTGTCGCTAGGACTACAAACAAAGGAGGCACATACAGTTCGTACCGAGAGAAAAAAACATCGATGAACCACTTGGCATCAGAAGAGAGAGTGCAGTGCTTATAAGCCATCCGTCCCCGTGACCATCATCGGTGAGCGACTCGGACATGTTTGATACCACAAGAGAGCTTGCATCGACAATTCCACATAGCACAGCCAGCAGCGTCATCCAGTCCTTCCTAGTAGGGCAGTCTGTAGAACCACACCACTGGGAGCTGATACCACATGATACGGGTCGCCTTGTCCACCGTGAGGACAACGAGGAGGACTCCGACCACATCGAAGCGGCCATGGCTCGCGAACCAAGCGGCCCCCATGACGCAGATCCGGCCGCTGCGATAGGCCGGCCTGCGGTGCTGGATGCCTGCGGGAAGCTAAGTCCCAGCAACTGCAGCCCCCGGGCTCCGATCACTGGTCGCGGGCCAATCAGACGGCGTGGAACGGCAGTTGGTGCTAGGCATTTCTAGGCGTGCAGGGCGTGCAGGCTGCCGCTGCGATCCTGAATGATGGGACAGTTCATGACGGGAAGCAAGGCAGCTGGCGTGCTGACCGCCTGAAAAAAACTGCTTGCAATCGCTGCAATCGGCGAGACTCTGCTGTAAGATGGCCCCCAACTGCAGCCTGGTGGCTGCGCTGATAGGCCCGAATCCCAGCAGGCAAAGAGCGAGACAGTGCGCTGCATTGCGTGTATGCAGGTATAAGCGCCCTCCTCCTCTTTGGGTCTAGGGTTGTGAGACATCATGGCCAACAATGATCAAATAGGCAAGAGCTGAAGGTACACCGTGAAGCATGACATGTCAAAAAGTATATAGGATCGCTCCTACCCAGAAGAGCTCTGGAATGTAGGGCAGGTGCAAAGCAGGTCAAAGCAGGCCACTGCTCGCCCACCGTGACTTGCTGTTTCCGTATCATTTGGCCTCCAACCCACCAGGCATCGTAGCAAATCCGTCAGCTTCTATTTCTCTCAGGCGCCTTACCTGCCAGGAGAAGTGCGCCTTGACTTTTGTGACTTGAGGTTATCACCATCCAGTCTAGGATCACCAACAGCTCCCAAGCTCCATTGAGCGATGAGTGGCTTCCTCCAGTTCGCCCGTACTTCGGTTCTGGGTGCGACGTCCAACAGCAGTTCCATGCACACCTTCTTGGAGTCGACGCCAGGTTTCGGCTCCGTCCAGACCCTGCTGCAGTCATGGCTCAAGCTCGACTTGGCAACCCTGGCTGCCGTCTTGACCATCACCGGCACCATCTCCACCACCTTCCGAACCATCGGCGACATCGCAATCAAGCTCTACTGGTGGATCACGAGGTTCTTCACGGCTTCCATCTCCATCCCTGCTAATGACAGGCTCAACCGCGAGATCCTCAACTGGCTCGGCGCCAAAGTCCTCGAACGCCAAGGCACCCGCATTCTGACCGCGGGCACCGAGGCCGTGGAAACAGACGCCTGGCACTACCGGCGGTTCGCGGTGGAGCGGAACGACTACCACCACGAGAAGCGCATGCCGATCAAGTACCTCCCAACCTTTGGCATCACCTGGTTCCTCAACGACGGCAACGTCTTCATGGTGAAGCGCGTCCCGACAAGCAGCAGTATTAAGTCTTCGAGCTTCTATGTACCGGACGAGTACGCGGCGGCGCCAACCGGCAGCGAGCCGCTGGTGGTCATGTGCCTCGGCCGCTCCGTGGCACCTATCAAGCGCTTCTTGGACCAGTGCCGCGACTTCGCCGAGAAGCAGCGCGAGGCCTTCGTCACGGTCCGCACCTCCAAGTCCGAGTACCCGGCAGAGGCGCGCTGGGACATGACGATCCTGCGGCCCATCCGCCCGCTGGAGACGGTGCACTTCGACGAGGCCACCAAGACCGAGCTCGTGGCTGACATAACAAATTACCTCGACAAGAACACGCGCCGCTTCTACACGGCCCGCGGCATCCCCTACCGCAGGGGCTACCTCCTCCACGGCCCTCCCGGCACGGGCAAGACCTCTCTGTCTCTCGCCTTGGCCGGCATCCTCGGTCTGGAGCTCTACCTGCTGCACATGCCCAGCATCGAAGACGACGGCCACCTCGAGCGCCTCTTCACCGCGCTCCCGCCCCGGTGCATCGTTCTCTTGGAAGACATTGACGCCGTCGGCATAAGGCGCCGCAACGGCAGGTCCGCGGACGGGGAAGACGACGACGACGACGAAGACGAAGAGAAAGAAGACAGGCACCGGGGGCGGCATAAGCTGACGCTCTCGGGCTTGCTCAACGTCCTGGACGGCGTCGCCTCCCAGGAGGGCAGGATCGTGCTGATGACGTCCAACTTCGCCGACAAGCTGGACCGCGCCCTGGTGCGCCCGGGCCGCATCGACAAGATGATCTTCCTGGGCAACATCTCCCCGCGCAGCGCCGAGCACATGTTCCTGCGCATGTACGCGCCCGACACCGAGAGCAACGCCACCGCCACTGCAGCGGCTGGCGGCGAGAAGCCGGACTGCGACGCGGAGCACCTACAGAAGCTAGCCGACAGTTTCGCGAGCAGCATACCGGACGACACCTTCACGCCGGCTCAGCTGCAGGGTTTCCTGCTGTCGTACCGCAGCGCGCCCGGCAGGGCGGTGGCGGCCATCGGGGCGTGGGTGAAGGAGGAGAAGGCGAAGCTCGACGAGGCGAAGCAGCGGGCCGAGCGGCGGGCCGAGCGGCGGAAGGCGCGCAGGAAGGAGAAGAGGCTGGTGAAGGCCGTGGCGCAGACTCTGAATGGTAGTGATCGGGAGGAGCAGGCTGATAAGATCAAGTCGCAGCTTGTCATTGCCATGAAGGCGAATGAGGATGCGACGGTGAAGAAGGAGAGGAGCAAGGGCGGATCTGGCGCGGATGCGGAGGGTGGGAATGAGGGTGAGGGTGTTTCGGAGGGCAAAGAGCAGTCCAATGACGGGATTAGTAGTCCGGAGGAGCTGATCATGGATTCGGAAGGGGAGAAGGAGGGGAAGAAACAGTAACGTCGAGCACTCGACGAGGTAGTGGCTGGGGACCTATGTTGAGCTTTTGAAGCGAAGTCAATGGCTATGTTATTTTATAATGGGACCCATCGGCCTGGCTGGTGATAATACCTAAGGCAAGATATCTTAGGAGTGAAACCTGTTTGGAAGATGATGCCAACATGAAAGTTTGGATTGCGTTGATCGATGTAATAAGAATCGAGTCCAGAGATACGTAATTCAGGGCCTGAGCGTTGCGCTACTGCCGCTGAAAATCAGCAGGGATAACCTTGCGAAACACCATTCATGTGGGCCGCGTGGCCTAATGGCTAAGGCGCCAGATTTCGGTTAAGAAATCACAATCTCTGGAGATTGCAGGTTCGACTCCTGCCGCGGTCGCAGGAATTTTCATTTTTGCTTCGCGTGCGTATTTCCATCTGCGTTCGCGATGACGGCTTTGAAATCTTTTGTTCAGTTCTCTTCTGAACTTTAACAGTAAGTAGGTAGGGGTAGGTACCTACTACCTTTCCTTCTATCTTACTTATATACTGTTTTTGGTAGTTGCTTTAAGTTAGGTGTTTCGCTTTACCGACTTTACCGACTCCAGACGGGATCTTTCTTCCCCAATGTCTCAACTATGACGGTTCTCCCATGGCTCGTAGCACCACTATCAGCCATCTCACCTCGTTCGCCCGTTCGCCAAATCTCGAATCCCTAAGGGAAATAGTCGTCTGCAGCGATGATACAAACCTCACATGCTACCGCGATCGATCAGGCACATCGGCGAACATAGGCTGGGAAGGCCGCCAATATGGTTGCCCACCTGCACTGCATACATGGCCTGGTCCGGCGACACGCCAATTCTTTGGAACATGACCGCCGATACCAGCTATCCGGAGTGGGAGCTCTGGAGCTGTAGCAACGCATCGGTCCTGCACACTGACATTGCGAAAGCGTCGGTGGTGGCGATGGCGTCACAGGGAAGGCCTAAGCACACACAGTGATCAGGTTCACATTCAGGCCAATGCGGTGATCCAGCATACAGCGCGGCTGTACATGAGTCGTGGACCGAAGCCCAGTGATAGTGTCATGAAGATTGTCAAAGCAGGTTAGGCGAGCTGAATGTACAGACTCAAGTGTTATCAGATCGTTAACAGGATGGCTATAAGTAGCCGATAGCCGAAGGTGACGACAGCCAGAAGAAGCCTGGAAAGGGGTTCATCCAGAGATAGAGACGCCGGGTCAGCTGGATATTGAGTCTCTACAGACAACCGCGGTTGGACCATCTGTCGCCGAGATTGAGCTTCCCATGGGCGGACTGAGTGAAGATCCAATGGTGACACCCGACTTTCGCGACACCACCGTCAGCGATGCCGTTTGTCGTACGAAGTACGGCGGCGGTACGGGAACGCGAACGGGCGGGATCGTGGAACAGAGATCTAAGTGGATACCCCGCTGAGTCATCAACAGGCCGCGTGAGGCGTGCGAATTCTGGTATCCTGCTTATGTAAGGCGCCTTAGTTACCACTGTTTCCTACCCGGATCCGGCAATTGATCACCAGTTTATGGCTGGATACCTTAACATCATCATCCTTCCCGGCCTCTTCACTTTTGATATGACGCAAACGGGCGAATTTGTGAGATGTTTATGAAGATGCTGACCTCGACAGCGAGGAAATGGCTGCTTCCGGCTACTAATCGACTCCTGAGAAGCCCGTGCCCAACGCTAGGATCTCGCAAGCCACCAAAAAGGACATGGGGGTGAACATGGGGTGAAGCAAATCGTAATCAATGCGGACAAGCATCGAGCATCGCATCGCGTCCCTGGTTCACGCGAGTCACAACACTTCACTTGTGAAGACGAAAACATACAATCATGGTCTCATTGCGACTTGCCCCTCTTGCTCCTCTTGGCTTGCTTGGGTTGGAAATGGCACACTGCGCTTGCATCCACAGTCTGTCGTAGTGTCACTTGCCACTTCCATGAAGTCTTCACGGTAAAATCACGCTCGTTACACCAAAACTGGCCACGAGAAATGGAGTCAATGGACGCCGCGTCCAATCTGGCGACGGATTGCAGACTCGCTTTCCATATCGGTCTCTCGGCTATCTGTTTGCTGCTTTTCTGGGCGCTCTGGTCATACTTGAGCTCTCCATTGGCGAAATACCCGGGTCCATGCCTGGCCAGTAAGGACTCTGCCGGCCATGTTACACGGCATCTCTGTCCAACATCACACAGCTAACGCTTTCCTCTAGGATGGACAAACCTCTGGAGACTGTACCACATCTCGCGGGGGAACTTTCACATAGTCCTTGAGAGGCTGCACCGGCAGTATGGTCCTGTGGTGCGGATCGGCCCGAATGTGTTGGACCTCGATGCGCCCGAGGCCATGAAGACGGTGTTCAACACAAAGGGAGACTGGAAAAAGGTACGAATACGACGAGCTAATGCACCACCCCATGTCATGTGCAAAGGAACTCACCGTGTTGTTTTGCTAGACGGACTACTACCATGCGAGCAGCGTCATGGTCGAAGGTGTGAACGTCTACAATCTCTTTAGCCAGACAGACCCAAAGAAGCATGCGCACGAGAGGAGGCCGATAGCGAGGTACTATTCGGTCAACAGCATCCTCACCCTAGAGCCGCACATGGACAAGGTGCTCGCTCACTTGTGCCACCAGCTGGAGACCAAGTTCATCGATGGCCACACCAGCGACAAGACGTGCGACCTCGGTGACTGGATTCTGTACTGTACGCCATCTTATGTTCTCTTAACGTCGCACCCCTCTCGCTAACAACCGGCAGACACATGGGACGTCGTTGGCGCCGTGACCTTCACCCAACCACTCGGCTATCTCGAGAAGGGCCACGACTTCGATGGCACCCTCCGAGCGGCCGAGAAGGCAATGGACTACTTCTCCGCCATCGGCTGTTTACCAATTCTGGACAAGTTTCTCGCCAAGAACCCGTACATCAAGGTCACCCTCCCAGGATTCGACAACATCCCCAACATTTGCATGCAGCGCATGACGGCTCGGTTCCAAGGCACCGACTATGCCGTCCATGACCCGCGCCATCCGGACTTTCTGGACATGTTCATCGAGGCCAAGAAGACCAACCTCGATACGGTCAACAACGATCAAATTGTCGCCTGGCTTATGATCAACCTGATTGCCGGTGCCGATACGACTGCCATCACCATCCGCTCGGCTCTCTACTTCTGTCTCAAACACCCAAGGGTCTGGGAGCGACTCCGCAACGAACTGGCCGCCGCCGGCATAACCAAAGCCAGCTGTCCAGTCCAGTACAGAACAGTCAGGCACATCTCGTACCTCGAGGCCGTAGTCCGCGAAGCCCTACGCATGCTGCCCGGCGTATCTCTCCCGCTAGAGCGCCTCGTCCCGCCGGGAGGCTTCCAGCTCGCCGACGGCCGCTTCATCCCGGAAGGAGCAACAGTCGGCATCAACCCGTACATCATCGCGCGGAACCAGTCGGTCTGGGGCGCCGACGCCGACGAGTTCCGCCCCGAGCGCTGGCTGCGCGACGAAGCCGCCGCCGAGACGGAAGGCGCGTTTAGACGGCGGTTGCAGGCGATGAACGACGCCGACCTGTCCTTTGGCGGGGGAAGCCGCGTCTGCATCGGCAAGAACCTGGGGCTCGTCCAGGTCTACAAGGTAGTCGCCACCATCGCGACCCTGTACGATATCGAGCTTGCGGATCCCAAGAAGGAGTGGAAGGTTGTTAACAGCTGGTTCCCCAGGCAGAAGGGGCTCGACGTGAGGATCTCGAGGAGATCCACGAAGGGTGCTTGACAACCACGGGAAGGTGCGCATCGGAGTTTTGCATCTTCCCGCCACCGCTACTGTGGTGCTGCGCACCTTCCCACAAGTTCGACTTGAGGTTGGCCGAGGCGCATTGAGCTTTGATACCCGGACACAATTCCTCCTTCAAATACTTTTAGATTTCACTCCCGACCACAATCAATCATCACGACAAATCAGTCACTTAATGTTCTTTTTTGTTTCTACTTCCTGTACATCTTTCACGCGCCGTCTTGGATCTAACCATACTGTTCTCGGGTTCTCCTCGAGGGCGCGTCTGTACAACATGCTCACATTCCCCACCCTCTGCGCATCACTGTTGTCTCTGTGCTGTCTGTTTACCTCGAATTCATCATGTATGAGGTACCGCAGGCGAATCTGGTCATGCCTTACGAGGTAGAGATACTCCCCCTGGGGTGGGATCTTGGTCTACTCTGTCGGCTGCCTGGTGTGGCTGGCAGTCCTGCTCATCATGACGGCGGTACAGGCGATGATGACATCCGCGGTGGTAGAGGCGGAAGGCCCACCGGGGCTTCTTGGCTGGTATCTGACGCTGGGGTGTTCTGAGGCTGGAAACATGGTCCAATGGCTGGCTGGGGCGTTCGTTGCGGTGAGCGGCGGGTTGTAAGAGTTCTTTGGGAAGCAACAGCTGCTTCGAATCCATCTCGTTGGGTCACTAGGAGTATTCAAGGGTTGCGGCTTCAGTGTCGGAAGCTATGGCAGTGGGCGCCCGTGCTGTCGAGGATTGGATGCTGGCTGTCGCAAGGCGAGCGGGATGGGATTACCAGAAGCGCAAGGCCGAGATTACGAAGGTGTGGATGCTAATACCTAATATTTAACTCATTTGGACTGATTTGGGCCTGTCAGTGGTTCTCGACCGACTTGTCTACACGTATCCCATCTAATGGTTGGCGCCGACTCAACAAGCCGGAAGGGAGCAGCCGCCGTTTGACCCTGGCTGACGAACTGGCGAATTAGATCACGGGCCGTGCCGCCCCGCGCTACTATATGCAAGTAATCGTCTCGATCTCCGGCATACCAACATCTCACCTCCTCTTTCATTTGACTATTCTTCTCTAGTGGCGTTTTGTTCGTCGTCAATGTGCATTATGCGCAAAAAACTACTTATCGTCGGGCAGATCATCTGTCTTGCCTTTATTTCTACCAGTCTATATTTTGGTCGTGAGAAGCTGACGCGTCTTCGAGTTCCTTCGTTCGTGGCTGGGTCCTCAAACACAGGATCGGCTCAGGGCGCCAAAGGTGATACGGCTCCATGTAAGTGTACATGTCCAGTCTTCCTGTATGCAGTGGTAGCTAATCAGGCGAAGCAACTGTTGTTCTGTCACCTGCAAACATAACGTCTTACTTGAATGCAATCCTTGATCCGCAAGCTACACATTCACCGCGATTATCTTGTCCGCAGCTAGACACGGCGAGATATGACTATCTCAAGGCTGCACAGTCAGAACCCTCGACCATCCAATATTTCTTCGCGCTAAACCTGCGGCAATGCCTCGGAGTACTCCCTCGCCTGATCGGCAGTGTGGTGGAAGTCATAAAGTTCCTCGGTCCGGAGC